TTGAACCGCCAGCCTTCTGGTTAGCAGTCAAGTGCCTTAGCCACTATGCTACCAGAGCATCTTCAGTAGCTACCCTGAATTTCTTTAGATACCCTAAAGAAAACCTACTCTGACTCCGAGACACAGGGCTGACTCTGGCTGTCTGCATTGGGCTCCTTCAGTTCCCTCTTCAGTGTGAATTGTGCTAAGTTGGGCTTCCATGCCTCCTAAACGCTCTCAGCTTCCAACCAAGAGGTTGGAGGTCCCAGCCCATCCAGAGGTGCCAAGGAAGAAAGGCCTAGAGATCTAGTTCTGAAAACTCAGCCATGAAAAACCATATGGGCGCATACGGGGTTACCATGAGTCAGTCAACTCGAAGGCCACTGGTTCTTGGAGTCCTTGGGTGGTGCAAAGGGTTAAGCATTTGGCTGATAACCAAACAATTAGCAATTTGGTCCATCCAAGGTGCCTTGGAAGAAAGTCCTGGCAATCTACTTTCAAAAAGTTGGCCACCAAAAACTCCATGGAGCACCTTTCCACCCTCACACACATGAGGTCACCATAAGTCAGCACCAACTCCATGGCAACTAATTAACAGCCAAATTTTAAAGAAATGTAGTTACCAATGTAGCCCAAGAGTGAACTCATGTTTGGGTGTTGTAAAGATCTAGTGTAAGACTCCCAGTCCTTTGCAATTTAGCCTATTTGGTGTATTTATTCTCAATCACGCTGTTATGACAAGAAGCAGTAGCACATTCGAAACAGGGCAAGATGCTGCTAAAAGAATCTTTAACTTTTTTTTTTTTTTCCAAGAGAAACACACATGTAAACCAGGTCCATGATTGAGAGGAGCTTGAGTTATTTTTCTCATTAAAAATAGCAGATGGATTTGTATTTAAAACCTTGTGCTGCCCCACTCTGCTGCCAGTGGAAAGCGTGGGCTGCGAACCTTACAAGCTGGCCACTTGGATGCAGAAAGACGGCAGCACTCTTTAATTCTGGAGGACAGTCCTACAGCCGCATCCCCTCTGTACTTCCTACAAAAGCCACACTGCACACGCCCCATATTTGGGAAAACACGCTGTTGGAGTACAGTTGCAGCTCCTGTCACTTTTTTATCCCTAATGCGATTCATGGGCGGCATGGTCTTTTTCCCACTCTAGGAGAATTATATCATTCTTCAGGATCTGTCATTTTCCTGCAAATACAAGGTGATGGTCCAACCCATCCTGCCCAAGGGCCACGTGAAGGCGGAGACCGTGTTCTTCACCACACCACCCTGCTCCTCACTCAAGGGGAAGAGCCACAAACATGCCAGCTGCCCTGGCGAACCAGGTACTGGTTGGTCTGGCAAACTCGGTGCTAGCAACACGCTGAGAACACTTCCAAACTATCACTTCTCGAGACCGTGAACGCTTAACGTGCCCGGTTTCTGTATCATGATGTGATGGTCAGCTGGGAAGCAGGGTACATGTGGAGAGATGCACACTGCTTGGTGGTTCTGACAGCACTGACAAGAGGTCTTTGGCTGGTACTTGAAATGCTGGAGTTTCAGGGGGCTTGGCTGGACATGATTTCATCTTTATCCCATGCTTTTGCCGTGTGAGTTATTCTCGCACGTTTCCTGCACCCGCTCCCCAGCCCCCATCTCTTTGCTCCATCTCTTCCCCTTGCTCAATGCCTTCCTGAATGGCACTCCTAGCTGAGAACCACTTCCATCTGGTCACTCTTCAAAGAACTCCAATATCCATGCCTTCCCCGGAGAATTGCTTTTCTTTAAGAAATGGCCATGTCTGGCCAGAGTCTGAATGTCTCTGTCCTTCTCCCATCCCCAAAGAAAGACTCTAAAAATAATCCCTAAGGCATTAGAAGCACGTAGCACACAGTGACAGGACTCGTACTCAAAGTGTTCCCATGGTCAGGCAGACCTCGGAGATACTGCAGGTTCTATGACCCCCATGACAAAGCGAGGCGTGCAGGAAAGTGAGTCATACAAATGTGTTGATTTGCCAGTGCATGTAAGAGTTAGGTCGACACTATACTATAGTCTATGAAGTGTGCGATAGCGTAGTGAAAATGTTGGAAATGTAAGAATGACCAAAATGGGACACAGAGATACGAAGTGAGCACGTGCTGTTGGACAAATGGCGCCCATAGACTGCTCTGTACAGGGAGGCCACAAAGCTTCCATTTCTAAAAAATGCGATCTCTGCCAAGCACAGCAAAGTGACACCCAGTAAAGTGAAGTCTGCCTGTACTCTTGCCTGCCTAAGAGGTGCTTGTCAGAAGCCAGCCTTAAAGAATAAGGTGGGATTCACCTCTGCGTCACCACAAATGGCTGCGTGCGATTCCCAGATGAACGCAGAGCAGGGCCCCTTTTCTCGCTCCTCCAGCAGCGTCACCCTGAACTCTCGTGTTTGCATTCACAGGCCACGTTCTTTCCAAAGTGCTGGCCAAGCCGGAGAACCTGTCCGCGTCCTTCGTTGTCCATGACGTCAACATCACGGGCCACTTTTCTTGGAAGATGGCCAGGACAGACCTCCAGCAGCCCATGACGGGGTTTCAGGTGACTTGGGCTGAGGTCACGACAGAGAGCAGGCAGAACAGCCTGCCCAACAGCATCATCTCGCAGTCCCAGATTTTGCCGTCGGTAGGTGCTGCCCCAGTCCCTTGTCGGTGCTGTTGGCGTCCATGCCCTGCTCACTCGTTTGGGGTCTTTCTGTGATGCTGTGTGCCACATGCAGCCCCTGTCCCTGGGTGTGGCCTATGGCTAACCATTAGCTTAACTGCTAACAGAAAGCTTGTTGGTTCGTGTCTACCCAGAGGCACCTCGGAAGAAAGGTCTGGCAATCTACTTCCTAGAAATCAGCCACTGAAAACCCTCTGGAGCCCAGTTCTCCTCTGCCCCTCCAGGGGGTCCCCATGAGTCAGGGTTGACTGCATGGCACCTGCTGTGCTGTGCTGTGCCATCGGGCCTGCTTTCTACACTCTCTGCCCTGACTCTATTTGCCAAAACTATTACTGTGAATAGTTACGGAATAGCAGACCTCACCTAGATTCAAGTCTCTGGGTGGTGCCAACCCTTTATGCGTGTCTACTGTCCTGGTTCCCTGGTGCTGCTCTGACGGGAATATACCACAAATGGGATGGCGTTAACAAACAGGAGTTTATTCTCTTACAGTTTGGAGGCTTTAAGTCCAAGTTCAAATTGCCAGGCTCTAGGGACTGGGTGAAAGCCCCTTGATGTTGGGCTTCAGCTCTGCCTCTTTTTTTCCAGTCCACTGAAGCTGGAGGCTTTTGTTCACTCAGACAGCTGCCGGCTGCTGAGGCTGACAAACCCAAGGTCAACAAGTAAAAAGGCACAGTCCCACTGTTACCAAACCACACGGCAGACCATTAACTCAAGTCCATTGAAAGTCCCAAGGTTGGCAAAGCATGGCAGGCTGCTGAACAATGACTCGGCTACATGCAGGGTCCAAGCGTGCCATAAGCTAGAGACTGTTCCCAAAGCTGTTTCTTATATATGGGAAGTAGACCACATACCCAAAGGCAGCTACTCAGCTGCTCACAGTAGATCCCACCATGAAGTTGATTACCAGTCTCATCATGGGGAATACTACATCCAGCTGCCCAGACACTCAACCAGGCCCTGCCACATTGACATACAAACTTAACCACCACAACTGCTAACCCAAAGGTCGGTGGTTTGTATCTGCCCAGATATACCAAGGAGGAAAGGCCAGGCCATCTGCTTCTATACTGATCACAGCCAAGACAGCCCTGTGGAACAGTTCTTCTGTGACACATGGGGTCACGAGGAGCTGGAGTTGAATGGAATTGAACCTTTTTTCAATCATCTACACTCACTTGGACTGGGCGAGCCAGCTGGTCGACAGACGTTATGCTGTCCACCTTATATACATGTGGGTTAGCCATATTGCTTCTGACTTCGTTAACCCCGCATCCCGCTATCCCTCTGCTCCAAGTGGAGGTGGCCTGTTTGAAGTGTTAAATTGGAGGGAAACAAAAGAAAAAAGCTCAAAGCAGCTTGTCTTTTTTCCCTGTCTAATTTGGCTGGAGCCCTGTCCAGTTGGCCTGTCTTCCAAGCCCCTTAATTCCTTGGCTTGAAGGGAAAAAAAAAAAAAAAATTCCTGTGTGGGCTTTGACCCTCTCTGAGAACGGCTCAGAATATCCAACTCCTGCTCCAAAACCAAAGAAAGAAAGAAATCCTTAAGTCCGGAAGGAAAAATTCCATGGATTAGAAAGTAGTCGTTCTATGAATGTCTTAGGTTTTATTGAGTTTTGAAAAGAATGCGTTGGCATAAAAGTAAACATTTCAGTTACAAGCATGGGCAGATACTGTGTTTTAAGGAAGACAGTTGGCTTGTTCCCGGCCATTCAGATTATCAAGAATTCACATCACAAGATGTGCAGCTGAGAACTTAAAACCATGGGAAAGTCCTACGGGAAGGAATGAAGCATGATGTCCCAGGAGTGGGCCTTGGGAACTGGCACCCCAGCCCGTTTTCACTCTGCTGAGGGCCTAGGCTGCCAAGAACGTAGCGAGGTGCTAAGAAACCACAGGGCAGAGTACTGCAGTCCCGAGCACAAACCTTCTCCACGTCCAGCCACGGCCTGCAAAGCAGCCATCTGGCACCGGCGT